TTGCACTCCCTACATCTGCTCCTGGGTGACCCAAGGGCCCAGGCAGCCACTCTTTCGATGTCGGGAGTGAGCTCATGTGATTACATTTCCGGGTAGGCCTTTTATATTCTACTGACCCTCTGACCTGTACTCATCAGTTAAAATTGACCAAGGCTGGGAACAGAGCCCCCTGGCCAGGGTGGGGTGCAGATATAAAAACTGTTTTAAGATTGGACAGAGCTGAGTAGACCTGGAAGTGTCTGGGATTAGGCAGTGAGATGGGTTCCAGTAGATGCTTGGAATCAGGGAGACTCTAGGAGAAGGTGAGATTCAAGACAAATGGAAGAAGTCAGTGGAACACTACGTGGAGGGCTCCAGTCACCTGTCAGCCTCCAGAAGTCAGCGTTTGTGAGAATCCAGAATTAAAGACCTGCGTTGATAGGCTGTGAGGTCAGGTGCTGAGTGTATGTCCTTCAGACCCCCAGGGGACTTGGTTGACTTTGTCCTGTAGAATGGAACTTCTTGATTGTGTTTGTTAGAGGGCACTTTAGGCCATTTTCAGTCCTTGTAGCCCTGTGGGCTCAGTTCCAGTTCCAAAGAGCTTTTTGTATCCATGAGAAAAGGCAGGGCCCTCCAGATCTAGAACGTGAAGAAGCCAAATAAAGTAAATAACAGCCAGAGAAGTTGTACTTAAGGCACACATGCCAAACCCTTAAATGATCAGCAACTTAGGAGGATGTTATTTGATTATGAATAATCCTTTTATGGGTTTATATTTAAGCTGTCTGTGCCTCATGGAATTGCCAGTGAAGACATTGTCTCACAAAACGCCGGAGAACTCTCTTGTAAGGTAAAGTAGAGCTCTTTCTTTACTGACTAGTGTAAAAAATGGCTGGCCTCTGTCACTGCTATTACACATTATTAAATGCTTTAGGCTCTAAGATTAAAATGTGAAAAAAGTAATAATGTTTTATTAAATGATAATTGCTTCAGAGAGTGGTATTGTACCTTACAGCGTGGGGATGTACTTGTGATGCTGAAGCAGGCAGAAGATAATTACTTGGAATGCCAAAAGGGAGAAGATACCGGCAGAGTTCACCTGTCTCAGATGAAGATTATCACTCCACTCGATGAACATCTGAGAAGCAGACCAAAAGTAAGGAGTTAATATTGTACAACCCTCATCACACATGGTGCCACATTTCATAGAACTATTAATTATATCTTATCCTCTGGTTTTTATTATCACATTTATTTTAACCAGAGTAAAAATTACAGTAGCATTTTATTCCATTTTTAGAATAAGTTACTGCTAAGAGACTTGCCACTGCCATGCTGGTCACTTGATCCACAGTGACCACCTTGTGTTCTCCCATCTCCACATTGTGCAAACTTAGAGCAACAACAACACTCAGTCATTAACTTTCAACCGTGAGAACTGTTTATTTTTTAAATAATGTAAACAGGTTTACCAAAGGGCCAGAGATTAATTTCCTGGCATAATCAATAATTATTTTAAAAGGGGCCCTATAAATGCTAAGTCTGACATAAAAGAAAGCACTTCCCTGTAAGATTTAAGCTCAATGTAAACCTTATTTCTCTGATTATAGCTCATAAAATAATGAAATGTAATCCAGCAACCGTAAGTCACAATTTAGGCCTAACAAATTTGTGAAGCGGAGGGTAAAATACAGTGATTACCGAAGGTCATCAGTTTAGCAAGAAAAATGCTATTGAATAATTTGTAGAGATATATTTTTGAAAGAGCATCTTAAGTTAGCCAATTAAACTTTCACTCTCTGGGGCAGGCCCCGTGGCGCGCTCGGGAGAGTGCAGTGCTTGGAAGCGCAGCAGTGCTCCCGCCACGGGTTCGGATCCTATATAGGGATGACTGGTGCGCTCACTGGCTGAGCGTGGTGCGGGCAACACCAAGCCAAGGGTTGCGATCCCCTTACCGGTCGTAAAAAAAGACCAAAAAATAAATAAATAAATAAATAAAATAAAATTTCACTCTCTGTTAGTTAATGTCATAAATATGAAAAATAATACCCCCCCAGTCATTCAACTCAAAGTATTTGGTTTTGCCATTCATCCTAGCTTTCATAATCTAGTTCAATTCTTTCTTCTTAAAAGGAAGTTTGCTATCTTTTGAAGCTTGCTAAGAAACTAAAAATTTGTATTTTGGAGAGCAGAGAAGATTTGTGGTGAGCCAGTTGCAGCTGGCTTATGAAAATCCTAACTTTAGTTCACACAGGGAAAGTTCTAGTACTCATTTTCTCTGTGTTTTGATACAGCATTATCCATCTGTCATAGCTGTTCTTCCTCTCTCAGAACACACTGGTGGTAACAGTGGGGATTGTACTGCCAAAAAGCTTTCATTTGTGAAAAATAGAAGCTAAAAAAGTTAGAAGTTATTCTTTTATAACAGTCCAGTTTTTTCCATTTTAAACATCACCTTCTCGTGTTGTACTATAGACTTTCAGAGCGTTGGCCTCTGATGGCTAATTATTGCTGATAATGAAATGAATTATCCTTTAGGAGCATAATGATAGGCTCATGGCTATCATTACATTTTTTAGAAAAATAAAACTGACGTATTTGTTTTTTTGTTTTGTTTTGTTTTGTTTTGTTTTAAAGATGACCGGTAAGGGGATCTTAACCCTTGACTTGGTGTTGTCAGCACCACGCTCAGCCAGTGAGCAAACCGGCCATCCCTATATGGGATCCGAACCCATGGCCTTGGTGTTATCAGCACCGCACTCTACCGAGTGAGCCACGGGCTGGCCCAAAACTGACATATTTGAAAGCCTAGTTTTAAGTTAAATATCTCTAAGAATGTGTTACACTTTCACCTAACCGAGTAAACAGAAATCACTGAATGTTATCAGTTGTGGCTGACTCTGATAGATGATGGGAAAAGCGGGAGATTGCTACCTGCTGTGTGGCTGAGCGCACAGTCCTGGGTTTCAGTTCCCTTCTACCACCTTAGGCGGTCATTTGACCTCTCTAATTTTCATTTATTAATGTGTGAAATAAGGATAATAATTCCTCACAGAGTTGCTTTTAAGATTGACATATTGTATGATTCCATGTGTATGAAAGTCCAGAACAGGTAAATCCATAGAGACAGAAAGATTAGTGGTTACCTAAGGCCGAGGGGAGGGTGAATGGCAAATAACTGCTGTTGGGTAGGAGGTTTCTTTTTGGGGTGATAAGAATATTCTAAACATAGATTGTGGTGATTGGTTGCACAATTCTGCTTATATACCAAAACCGTGTGTACTTTAAACGAGTGAAGTTTATAGTACGTGAATTAAATCTCAAAGATGTTTAACAAATTCAGTGGGGTAATGCATACAGGATGTTTATTTATTTATTTATTTATTTTCCTTTTTGTCTTTTTTCGTGACCGGCAACGGATCGCAACCCTCAGTGTCGCGCCCATACCGACTGGGACCGGCAACGGGATCGCAACCCTCGGTGTTGCGCCTGCACCTCGCTCAGCCAGTGAGCGGCTGGTCTGTATGTGGGATCCGAACTCTCGGCGGGAGCACCGCTGCGCTCCCAAGTGGCGCACTGTGCGCCACTGGGCCGGCCCATACAGGATGTTTATTTATTTATTTATTTATTTTCCTTTTTGTCTTTTTTCGTGACCGGCAACGGATCGCAACCCTCAGTGTCGCGCCCATACCGACTGGGACCGGCAACGGGATCGCAACCCTCAGTGCTGCGCCTGCACCTCGCTCAGCCAGTGAGCGGCTGGTCTGTATGTGGG